GGCATCTCCCACTCGGGTCAGCGCAGGAGACTCGAGACCTCTGCGCCTCGGCCAGCATTCCAAAATTATCACCTGGGCGGATCCGCTTCGCTCCCGAACAAGTCCTTCACCTTCAAGCTCTTCGGGACACACAGTGGCTTGACTTCCGTTGAGCTTGGGTCTGAGTTACGTAGCGTGAATCCGGTGTGGCTTGAACTTTATTTGTCACTCGTGCCTGTGGGAACTAGCAAGTGATATTTGCACCGTGTCATCAGTTAGCGCACATGCCGACTCGCTGCTCGTGACTGCAAGTATTCTATTCTAGGCTGCTCCTGGAAAAGCGCTCCCTGCATTCGACGCTGGTGTTCCCAGGCTCGGCCCGAAATCGGCCAGAGCTACGTCGCACCATTCATATCATGCCATCCGTCCTGGGCTAGCACTACTGCAGCTGATTATGCCGAGTTTGCAGGGAACCCATCCACCTCCCGCACATGCTGAAGTCGAAGCCCACCAAGCGATTCGTGCTTTCCGATGAAGACAAGCGAATCACGCTTGCTGACTGACGCACGCTCGTAGTCGATATCAACTGAACGCCTCAAGTGGCTTTTGCGGCTGGGCGGGAGACACTTGGTGGCTGTTCTCGTGGCTGTGGCTGCTTCCCGACAAGAGGGAGACAGACAATACGTTGAGAATACGTGACAGCGCTCGGGCAAATCGGGCCTCATCACTTTCTTCCTGATTGTTCCTCATCTGCAAGCAGGATGGATGGCTTAGAGCCAATCGCAGCTGATACGCGCCCATGCTTCCTTGGGAAGGCTCATTGCCTGAAGGTATAAAATGACCACCGGGAACCTCTAACCGTCATTGTGTAATGACAACACCTTCACCGCCCCAGATACAACAATTCACTCCCTAGCCTTCTCGACAGCAACCCTTCTCTAGTTGCCGCCCACCGCGTTCACCATGCCCGTCGCTAATACTGGCTCTCAACAGGTTGTCACGCCGGCACAAGAAAAGGCCGCCGAGCTCGTCTGGAAGAAGCTCAAAGCCCTCCACGGCACTTTCTACCGGGCAGATCTTGGTCTGGGTCAAGCCGTTCTCAGCAATGGCAAGGTTCAAGTTAGATCCATCAGCGATCTCACCTCAAAGTATGTTCAGCTCGACCAGACATGTCACATACGCATGTCGCTACCCGAAGCTCAGGCAGCTTTAGGGGATGTCAGAAGAGCGTGGACCGACTTTGACAACGGAGTCGATAGTCGCCACAAAAAGCTCATCAACGAGATCGCGACCTGTGCGAAGCTGGACCGCCAGACGAAAAAGGACTTGGAGCTCCAACTCCAAATCTTGACGCATGAATTTAGGTCCAATCTGGCACTTGCTGAAGCGGCCTTCCAGGAGGCGGGCCCAAACGCTCCTCAGAATCTCATCAAGCGCATGTGGCTCACAAACGCCGATGGAACTGCTGTGAAAGATCTTGGTTCTCCCATGGGCTACAAACCTAATCCCGACTACAAGAGCTGGGGGCTGTGACCTTCTTGGACAGGAAAATCCATTCGCGTGAGTGCTGAGTCTTGATGTTGCATCGCTGGCGCAAGTTGCGCAAGTTGATCTTGATGTATTCCAGATTCGAACGTATCGGTCTAGCAGGCTCATGGCTAGTGATGCTGAGACAGTAAAGCACCAAAGACAATCTTGCGCGTGAGGGTCAATTGCCGTGAAAGTGGCTTTACGTGCCCGCGCCTGTACCGGTCTCTTGGCTTGTATCTGAGGAATTGAAGACTACAGAAATGCCAAGTTCGTCTCTCTTTGCTTCAGGATGTAAGCTGGTAGTAGCTGGCCGACTAGGACCGTCTGCGGGCTTTTGTTTGGCTTGCGAGCAGGACGTCCACCCGAGGCGTGAACAGCCAAGCGAGATACAATAGTTCTGAAAGTGCAGGCGTCATCTGAGCGTGACGTGATTGATATTCAAAGGAGATGCTTTCTCGAGGAGTGCCTGAACCGATGCCAGACTCGCCACGTCAACAAGAGACGTAGAGATGAATGTAGTCGTGTCATGTGTGTTCGTCATACGTGGACACGTACTCATCGCTTTTCTTTGGACGATGAGACTAATTGCATAGTATTCCAGCGCGTTCGGCGCTTAGCAGCTCTAAGAGATGTTTTCACCCCCGAGCAAAGCTCCATGACCTAGCTTACGACACGAAACCCTATCCACACTTTGACTCCCTAATCAATCCGAGTCCCAGTGATGACGAAAGTAATCCTCGATGTAGTAGCCGGGAGCATCAGGGTCTGCATAGAGGTAAGGTTCAATCTCGAAACCCTCGAAAACAGACTACTCCTCTGATAGCTCGGCACCCGCAAAGTCGCCAGGACCGGGAAGATACGTCGGGCTCCAGCGACCCGGGCCAGGACCGATATTTATCCCCTTGTCGTCGTCTTCGTCTTCGTCTTCCCACTCGTCATTATCCGAAGCGACGTCTCTACGCAAAGGGCGGCGGCAGATAAGCACCGGGCATTTGCTGCAAAAATGTCGCCATAGCGGCGCACTCACCGCCTGCAAGCCTGTCGCGCTCCGCCTCATCAGGCTCAGTCACGTCAAGATACTGCCCGCGAAAATGTTCCATCCACAGTCTGCACGGAGGATCTTCCTCTCGGATGGTCTTAGCATACGCCGCCTTCTCTTCAGCCGTGCTCGGCATTGGCGTGGCCTTCTGAGCCTCTTTGGCTTCGACAGTCTGCAGCTTGATCCAGTCTTCATAAATCGAGACGATCTTTGGGATCAGGCTGATTCGATCGATCCGAGCGATGATGGTCACGTCCAGAACGAAGCGCTCTTGTCAGCGGACGCAATAATGTAGAACAAAGGGTTTACGTACATCACAACAACCTACTCGTCATGCGCTTCCGTCACTATCTTTGCGGCATCTTGAATGGACAGGCGTTTTTGGGGATCCTCCTCTAGCATCGAGAGCGCCATATCCGCTAGCTTTCTCGGGAAAGCAGCGAAGTTATTTTCGATGACGAAGTCATCTTCTGGATCGATGTCACCTTTCAGCCCCCAGAATCCGGTAGCATCTGGCCCCGGCTGGGGAAGCTTAGGCAGTTTATTCACGGGTGTGCGTAGTACCCTGTCGAACCGCTGCTCGTCGAGGGGACGAGGAGCCGATGTGTTGTTAGTACTGTTCTGCATTGATTGGGGAGAGGAAAGGGACACAGTGACTCTTGCGCACCTCGGAATGCCGAGAATCTAGCAGATCCTTTTTAGGGGGCTCTACACTTCGCTCCTGGGGCCTCAACTTCAACAATAGTCGACCGACGAGGTCCCCCATGATATAAACATCTCTACCGAACCTGTCAAAAGGCACCGGCTCATCAAGCGTTGATCGAAGGCCTTCGGGTAGCTCAAATAGATTCGCGCCTGGATGCGCCTTCAGGTAAGCTCGGTCTTCAGGCGTGGAGCATGCTTCCGCTACGGGGAACCGATTCGGATATGTTCCCTCGTACGGCATGAATTTTCGGCCTCCTGGATGAGCGTTTTTGACTTTGTCGGTAAGGCTGGCGTATGGCATGTTGGCGAACCACTACAAGAGGCGTGAGGAGGAAGAGTTCACATCAGCTATGAAAAAGGCCGTCGCTTTCGGCGATTCACTGGGACGAGCCTCACCAGCCTAGGACCGGGCACACGCGGATCTGCCGCTGCTGTGAGAGTGCACCATGGCAATCCAGCTTTCCCGTTATAGATGTCCACGTCTAGCGGCAGCATCACCCATCCGGGACCGAATGGGAAGGGCTCGCTAGGCTCGATTGGTAGTGCCTCTAAAATTTCCTGGCTGTCTACTCGCGCCCCGGCGAAGCGACGTGAAGGGCGGCCCTTGCCCGCATACATCCACGTAAAAGTCAGGTCTCTACTGAACACGTTCAACGAGATACCCGCTCGGTGTAGCCAGACAAGGCCACACACTGCATCCCTGATCATCTCAATCCGTCTGCGCATGTGAAGATCGTGTCGCGTCGGGAAACGTTCATAGGTGCTGTACCTCTGGGCTACTGGGTGAATGAGAATGGTACTTGCCAGTCCGTAGTCGAGAAAATCCACAAACGGCACAATTGGGCATTCTGGGTCAGCGAGCAGATCTCGCCTGCCATGCAGCAAGTGCCTAAATAACGACAGCTGCTGAGAAGCACGCAAGTTCAGGCGAAGGACCAGGAGTGGCTTGTCGGGTAACTCCGAGGCGCCGTGATCATTCGAACTTTTGTCGCCCGGCTCTGACTGTGTTCGGGTGAATGTATCTCTGCTTGGTCTGGAATACTGAGTCGAGATGACAGCATCAAGCAAGTCCGCTTGAAATTGCAGCCCTCCAAACGACGAAAGACAGCGCTGGCCGAACAAATTGCGTTCGTTGGCATGACTTCCGACCAGTTGACGATCAAGATCGGTCGGTTGTTGATCATAGAACTCAAGATTGTGAGGTGGTGCTGCACCGGCTTGGAGGGATGTCCAAGTTAGTGAAGCTCGTCTCCCTTGTGATAGGACCGCTTCTCGGGCCCCGTGGTAGCAGGCCCCTCACAACATGAGAATGTTGTAGAACCGAGGTCCTATGCTCCTGGACTTTATCAACATGGGCTCATGCATGGATCGTACTCACGTGGCGGCCGTCTGGCCAAATATTCCGGCCCTGACGGCCGTTGAATGAGGTCATGCGAAAGGTGTAGCTGGAATTTGAGGTCTTGGGGTCTTGCGCTGTACCTATCAAGGAGGCAAGCTGCTCTATAGCCATGCACTTCGAGGAATGCCTCCAAAGCTGCAAGACTTGCTTCTCTCTCCTCGTCTAATTTGTCCTTGACCGAAAGCAACGGAAGCGTGTGTGGCTCGGGTTGCGGGATGCTGCTTAAAAAGAGGTCGTGATGCGCTCGGAAGATCTCGCTGCGAAGCTCAGCCAATGCAAAGGTGCGCGATGCAGCGCTTTGCTCAGTGGAAGGTCCCGTGGCCAAGGCCTTTTGCATGCTGAAAGGCGGCGTTCGGAAAAGCTATCAAACGGATGGCACTGAGCCATGACGGTACCTTTTCGGCTTTCTCGAGGACTTGCGCTTTTCGACTGAGCCGGGCTAGATGGAAGAGCTGAAGTAGAATCTGGATGCCATGCATATATGCTAGTTTGTTGCGCCCGAGATTGGCAAGCGGGCGAGGCTTGTGGTCCTTCTACTCTGGAGCATCTTCTCCTTGCGCCGAAGTCTGCAAAAGAATTCAATGAATGAGTTCTGCACGCTGAGTGCTTACCTGGGTATGCACTCGTGACTACATCCAGACGAGCTTGAAATTTGCCAGACTCAGCCCATATAAGCAACGCCTGTATGCGTTGGGTTCCTGCCAACGATGAGCAGCTGATGCTGTCCCCAAGGGCACTAGGCCGACTACGAGACGAGACTGGGCAATGAACGAGCTCACTTCGACTCCTTGCGCCTTTACGGGAGCGGGGTCTGGAGGTACTGTAGTGGACTTTGCGCTCTCCACAACTTCTTTCTTGGTTTGGCAACAGGGTGTCTCTGATTGCAAGGACGCGGGGCGGGAGATGAGCACTACAGCTCCTCTCGAATCGTGCGCCCCTTCCAACATTCTCATCTCTCATATACTAGATCAATTCTGATCACTCAGTATTGATACACCTCGTTGTCTCCCTCTTCAAGCTTGCCTCTGTTCTTGAGCTCATCAAGAACGCTCTTTATCCGCGCTGATACTTCCTGACCATACTTTTCCTTGTCGAGCGGACCTTCTCTAGGCTTCTCGAGTGGCGCATGCTGCAACCATGCAATCTTCCGAGCGTTCTGCTGGGATGTTGCAAAAGACTTGATCGACTGAATATTGTCGTCGTTGAACGCACCGCCAAAGATGACCGCTCTGATGCGTTCCGCAAGGCTAATCGAATCGTCCGTGAGAGCCTTCTGAATGCCCGTCTGCGCGTCCTGTTGGTCTGTGAACACTTGCACGACTGCATAGTGAGTGGTCCCCGACATGTCAGCTATCGACAGCAATCGTTGGCAAGGTGGCAGACTTACCCTCATATTGTGGGCGCAGAGCAGCTCGCACACCGTCAGCGATTTTAGCCGTCTTGCCGCACAGAATCACAGGAACGGTGCGGGTGGTAGCACTCATGCTGGCTGAGCCTTCTGTCTTGCAATTTCCAAAGAAATCAAGATCGCTGAAATAAACGCAATACTGCCGTGTGCTGCTCTCGGTCGCAAGGTGATGGTGGTGGTCGAATGGAGGATACACACCCGCGACTCCGCCTCCCTCCACCTGCATGTGCGCATCCGGCAATTTATACAGTGCAGTATCGAAGGTGAGTCTGGTGCTTGCGCGGGCGCCTCTCGCGAGAGTCACGTGAAACTATTCTTCAGCTTCGCTGACATCAATAAGCACCCTCAAAACCTGGGACTCGTTCAAAAGCATCGGACGACGCCAAATTGCATCTATCAGCTATTCCATTCACGTTTTTTAACGATAAAAGAGGACAGGGACTCCTCAATCAATCTCATAGGCGCGCCGCGCAGGCCGCAATGCAGTTGCGTAACGGATGCCTACCGGACAGAGACAGAGTCGCTGTACTTTCGGACCAGGTTATTGAGCGCACTGCCCGCTCCCAGCGCCACAAGCGTCGAGGAAAATATGCTGACGAGCAGAGAGAGAAGCGCATGAGCCGACTGAGCGTCGTGAACCGAGCGCTAGAATCGCTGACTCACATGCTGAAAAGCAAAGAAGGTATGGTCGAGGAACACAAAAGGGGCAATCAGCACGACTTGGGCAGCGGTAGATGCGTACAAGCTGCAGCAGAAATGGACACTTACACGCTGCAGAGGCATAGAGAGATGTGAGCACGGCGTCAGTTGCTGCATGTGAGCAATGGATCGAAAGGCTTCAACTCACTTGTAAGGCTGTCATTCGGCAATGTGACCGGAGCAAAGAAAGCATAAATGTCAGCATCGAGAATCGATCCTTGACAAAGTAGCACCGAACTTACCATCTGTCGCGTAGGAAACGCAACAGCACGAGGGGCAAGGAGAGGAGAACCAGTCGATGAATATCAGCGCGCTTCGACGACTAGTCGCAGCTTCCACTCACAGAAAAATCAGGCACAGCAACTTCGAGCAGAGCAGGCGCAGTGTACCATCTCCTTCCCCACACCTCGTTGCCATCGTTAGGATTGCGCACACGCTCCACTATGACAGCGGGGGGCAAGTCAAATCCTCTATGAGCGTCGGGCGGGTGCTCCTCATACCTCATAAACGCCTTGTCGTAGTCGTACGTCAAGAGCAAGGTGCTAGCAGGAGGAACTCGGAGGAACGCCTCCACACGCGACGGTCGTTCGCGCGTCGATGCCGCGCTGTAGGAGAGCGATAGTAAAGGATTCAACG